CCCAGCCAGGAGGCTAAATCCTAGGTTTGCTTCCAAACCTGGGGTGAAGGACACCCCCCCGCCCTGTCCTGCAGAGGAGAGGAAAACAGGAAATCTGTCCCTTTTGGCCTGAAATCAGCCCTGCAGAAGCCTCTCTGTATGAATGCTGAATATTTTGGTCTCGGCCGACGGAGGGCTCTGGCCAGCTGTGGATCGCACAGGGATTTTCCTCTGGGAGGTAATGCTGCTTCCCTGCAGTGCAGGGCTTCTGGTGCAGGAGTATTTGGAAAGGCGGTGTCGACTCACCTCCCGGAGCTGCGTCCTTGCTGCAGAGCTAACTCCTTTCAAGTTTAGGCTGAGAGTGGCCACTCTGCAAAACCAGGTTCAAACTGCGCTCAGTAAGGGGATCAGTGAGATGAAGCAGTTGTGGTTGGTGTGTGACTGTGCTCTGTTCTTTCATGGGAGCATGTTTAGGACTCAAAAAACTGAAGTTCTGAGAGAGAGGAGCTGTTGGGGGGGAGGAAATGTGGGGAGGAAGCCTCTGTGGGTTTTTGGCAGGTCTGGGGATGACTGCGGGTGAGGAAAATGCAGCTGCTCCGCAAGTGACTCAGGATGCTGGAACCATCTGGGTGCTGACTCCTCTGCCTTTACGCCAGGCTGAGGGAAGGAGATCATGTTGTCACAGTAGAATTTGGTGCCTATTCCTGTTCCCCATCGCTGAGGTCGGTGGGGACACTTGGTTCAGGGTGTCTGCAACCAGGCTTGCAGTGTTTCGTCTGAATGATCAGTCACCTTCTTGGAGGGCTTGTGCTCTGGGAATTTGGCCCCTGTGCGTGGCACCCCAGGCTGTCTGTTCTAAACTGCCTGTGCTTGGGGAGCCCTGCTTGATGTCCTGCACGAGCAGCTTCTCTGCCTGGGCGGTCGCTTTGCTGGGGACCTGCAGTGCTGCGCTGTACCTTCCCAGCCTCACCTGACTCTGCAGCGTCCCAGGGAAACGTCTGTTACCCATTCTAACAGCCATGTTTTGATTTCCTGGTGTGCTTTTGCTTGTCATACTGAATCCCGTGAAGTAGTTTCCTTCTTGTCGGTGTTGTGTTTCATAGTGTTTAACTCTGTTTCTCTGTAAGAGGGCTGGTTGCTGAGCTGAAGTAGAGCATCTCCATTGACTTCAGTGGAACCAGAGAGATTTACACCAGCTGTGAACCGGTCTGTAGTTTGTCTTCCCCTTGTTTCCCTGTGTTTTCTGGCTCTGTGGATATTCACCAGCATTCCTATTTTGTTCAGAGTATGCACAGGTCAGAGAAAAGTAGTTTTAAGATACAGAAGCCAGCAGGAACAGCTTGGGATTTTCCTTTGGTTTTATTCTAATTCTTGCAGAAACGTCAAGATTCAAGACAAAACCCTGTTCCTGTAATAAAGCTTAAAAACTCTTGAACGTAGGACATGGAAAAACAGCAGACAGTGACAAGGGAGGGAGCTGCATCTTGGCTCCACGTGAACCAGTGGTGACCGGTACAACAGGTACTGCTGTAGCTGAGGACTAGCGGGGCTGACAATGCATCTGCCACACCTCGCAGCAATCGAGAGCGTCTTGGTGAAAAGTGCAAATTCTCACTGAGAAGTGAAGTGAAAAGCATGTCCCTAACTGGGGATGTAGCTTGTAACTGGAGAGACCAATTTCATTCAGTCCTGAGAAATGGTACCAAGCACACTAGGCTGTTCCTTACATTAGTAAGACTGCAGTGCATACTTGGTGAGCAAATGGCTTGCCTGTCACCCTTTGCAGAGACAGCTTATGTTTGATATTGTTGTCCATATTGAGAGGTTGGCTTTGGAGTGGGAGTACTGGAAAGAATACTGTTTGTAGGCAGAGCAGAGAGCAAAGCGTTCATGCCTTAGCAGAGGGGATCATTTCTAGGAAATATACTCCCCCCTCTGATTCAAACTGAAATGTGCTGGTTCCCTGATCTGTTGAAGTCCAAGTGAAGTTGAGAATAATCTGAAAAGAAACGTGCTAAACATGTTTCAGAATCAGCAATTTTCAAGTGGACTTGTTTGGACATTTAGAAAATGGGCTTTTTTGGCTTTGCCTGAGTGTTCAGCTTCAGAGCAATGGTATGGTTTTCACAGTCAGCAAATCTCCTCATCGTCCCCACCCATCACATGTTGGTTGAGTTGCAGAGTGGTTTTGATTCATATTAACTTGATTCCTTTTGAATAAGTGTAAAGTAGAGGCTCTGCTCCACTTCTGCAACACTGATTCTCCATCCCTTAATGGAAACACAAGGGTCCAAACCAAAGATTGGACAGCTTTGAACCATACCTGCGATACAGACGCTTAGTCTGGAGGACTGGGCCAAAATCTAATCTTAAGTCATACCCCCTCACCCCAGCTACATGTGGTGTACACGTACCAAGTGCTTTAATCTTTTCATCCTTTCCTTGTGCCAAATAACTTGCTAGTGCAGAAAGAGCCTGTGTCTTAAGCTGGAAAAGAAGAATGGTGGGGAGCCCAGGTGATGGTCTCTTGTTTTTCTGATGTAAAAAAAAAAAAGGCAGAGGTAGGAAGAGGAGACATAAAACATGACCATTATCCACATGGAAAGACTAACTAGAACGAGAGAGCTAGAGGAAAGGCCCAGAGTGTGACAGATCAAAAGAGCAAGGCCTCTGGCTGTTACGATAAAGAATGTCCTAGTTCTTGAGAACATATTTATGTGTGTGCGCACTGGATTTTTTTTTTAAAAAGGAAATAGTTTTATTCAAAGAAAGGTCTGTTTCTACCACAAGGGCTGTTTAAGGGGGAAATAGTAGGTGAAAATAGTGAAAATAAAACTTTCACAGGCAGTGGTATAAGGAATGTTTTGTGCAAATGAGAACGGGGGCCATTATTTTAAATTAAAAAAATTTATTGGAAGGTTGGGGGCAATGGGGGCTGTCTGTTTTCGCTCTGGGTTGGCAGCTCCTGTAGAGTTCAGTGCATGGCTTGGCTGTGCAGTAGATCTGCTTGTGTAGACATGTGGTGTCCCATGGATGGCAAGGAGTTCTTGTTGAACTTAAACCAAAGTGCGTAGAGGAGTAAGGAATCAAGTATTCTTGTAGTCAGCTGAAACACTACAACTGTGATTCAGGATGCGTTCAAATACTCACTGCAGAAATAGCTGTGCTAGCTAAAGGTGTTACCTCTCCCCTGTGCTGGAAGATGCTTGCCTCACAACGTACATGGGCAGAAGCAGCTTACACGACGGTTTCTCATGTGTTTTGTTGCAAAGTTGTCTGGTTTAGGACAGAAGAAGTTACATCCTCTCAGTTAAAATACTCCAGCCTGGTTGTCTCATGCCGTATGCCGTCAGGAATCAAACTGCTGTCATCTGAAGCAGATGAGGAACATCCTCCAGTTGTGTGGCAGAGGCGGTAACCTCCAGCACCAGGCTTTCTATAACAAGGTGGTGACCACTAGCCATCTAAATGGCCTTTCTGTTGCAAACAACCTCAGCTTGAGGAGACTGGGTAATAGAGGTAGAAGCAGTGAGATTCCACAGATGGTACTGTGTACCTTGGATAAACTCCAGGCTACAGGTATCTCTTCTTACATACTGTCATGTTCATGTGTGCAAAGAGTTTGAGAAATGGCAGGAGTTTACCTACGCAGTTTTACAGGACCTTACAATGTACAGTAGCATATATGCAGTGGGGTTGGCTCTTGTCTTAAGTCAGTTCTACGTGAGTAACTCGGTGAGTTGAGTAACTGCTCCTGATTTTACTTTGCTGTTTGTGAGAGCAAAACAGGGTGGCAGTTGGGCTGTGTAGGTGCCATGGCACCTTCTGGGAGTGGATCAGATGAGAGTACCCCAGTGTTCCTGCTCCCACTGCTTCATTGCAGGGGGCACAGTAAGCTGCCTTCCCAGTTATTTTTCCAGCAAGCAGAAGGAATAGAATTAAGAATTAAAACTTAGACCAGCAAGTGGGTACCACTGCTTAGGCTTGGAGACAGTAGCAAAGGAGCTGAAGGGATCCCTGCAAACCTGTCGGAAATTAATGAGAAGATTCCTGGTCAGTGGGAGTTTAGGCAAACAAAGATTGATTCTAGATCTTTTGTCTCCTCGGGTGTTAATTTGGGCTCTCTCTCAGAGAGACTGCTGGACGGAGCAGATTTTGACACAAAAATCTCGTTTCTGTTTGCTGTATTGTTAGACACCCCCACCACCACCCCCAATTAATAAAGGTTAATATTGATTAACAAGAAAATCACTATATTTTTGTGGGGAAAATGCTTCTGGCAGTCTTCTATTTGAATACAGAAATAAAAGACATTGTTGGCACAAGAATAAATGGGTATATAAAAGGTTTTGTGTACATTTAATTGGGAAAGTGGAGGGAGGAAAGTGTGTATATTAATTTAGGTTTTAAACAGCAAGCACTAAGACAATTTGGGATGTGATACAGGGTGTCACTTAAATTCAGTACCAAGCACATTCCCTTTTCGATTCTGTCAGGTCTTAACTGTCTTGTCTCCATTGTCGTTTCAACGTGAGAGAGCAAGCTTCAATTTGGATCCCCCCTCCTTTTTTTCTCTCTGGTGAATACCTAATCATCACGCTGATTTTTGACTGGGTATTGACTGTGAGACTTCCTGGCCTAATTTTTTTTGCTAACTGTAATAGCAATAGCTGGCGATTTATTTTTTTTTTTTTTTTAATCTGAGATATACAGGATGTTCAGACATGCAGATGTATTTTGTGTTAATTGAGTAATAGTCATCCAAGACCCAGGGCTTTTCCTTGAGATTAATGTACAAAGGGATAGGTCAAAAAGCTCAAGGTCCATTACCCTGTGAGATACTAATACCCCCACAATTAATTTCATTTTCATGATTGCATCATCTTAAATTGAGGTGAAATCAAGGATTTTTCATTTTTTTTCCCCCTCCAGCTGAGTTTGACTGGCACAACTTCTGACATGGGTGTGTGGAGGCTGGTACCACGGCCAAGTCAAATCCTTTTCTTTGTTCTCTGGGCCTGCTGCTGCTGATAAAGTGGTCGGCGCATGGCATTATGTCTTATTACATTTTTGATGCAGACTGCAAAGAAACGGGTAAACTCACCATGGTTACCACGATCTGTCATTTGGCAGGGCATGCTGTACTCAGCGATGGCCTCTAGTGTCTGCAGCACAGCTCTGCATATGTCGTGGGTACAGGAGACAATACAGCAACCCGTGGCTGCCGAAGCGACGCAACTCTGCTGATCTGACTGCTAATTCCGATCGGGAGCGATGCTCCAACTCCAGCGGCAGGGTCTTCCTCGGAGCTGAAAGTTCTTGTTTGTTTTTGGCATTCAGTGTTGACTGAGTCGCTGCTGGATTCAGGCTCCCGTGCTGAGACCAACTCCTGTCCACCGCAGCGCCGTACGTTGCTGGCTTTCGCATGTGTGAAACTTTCTCGGTCAGCCCCTGGGTTCACGGCTTGGTCTCAGCACATCACGTTTGTAGTAGGGTTTCTTTCTTCTCTCGCCATACCCTGCTGTGTTATTTCATACAAGCCAAGCACGTGTCCTTGCTTAAATCAACATAATCTGAAACAATCTCAAAATCATCTGTACTATCTTATCATTAACTGATATGATGGTGATCAGTTCCTTATTGTTTCGCATGGGCTGGATGGTCATGGTTTGCTCAGTGGGTAGAGCAGGATTCCTGAGTCTGGTCATTGGAGTCATTGCTTTAATTCTGAACCAGTTTGGAGCTCACAGGTCTTGCATGTGACTCCTTGCAATAACAGTTTAGGAACAAGTCTTTGCAGGATGGGTCTTTTGTTTTATTGTACATGAGAAAAAATAGCTTAAGTCTTTCTCTGCTTAATTGAGGTAATTAAACCTTCTTACCTTGCAGCACAAGGGGCTCATTAATGTTTTTGAAGCATTTTGAAGTCCTTGGAGGAAAGATGTGGTTTGCTGTTGTGTCATGTTTGATAACTTGAAATTCAGCCATCTAGACTTGAAATACTGACGGAGTTGTACATACAGAAATCTTACAATTGTGCATGTATTTTGAGCTCATAATGTGACTAATTAAGAGAATACCTGACAACTGTGGTGTTCCTTCACAGTGCCGTACTCTATAGGTGTGTTTAGTTTTTGGGGGTTTTACTGTGCTTTAGCAAAATGTGACAATTAGCTCCATGTGAAGCCTTAGTGATGGAAATGCAGATTGTAATGCCATAAAATTTAGCAGCTTAATTAAACAGAAACCTTGCTTTTTTTAAGGTGACCTAGTGCCTAGCCCAGTTTGCCTTTTTTAGGATTTCACATCTGGTTAACTAGTAAAACTTATTGAAGACAACCCCACATTGATATCCTTTGATTAATTCTAAAGTGGAAAGAGACTTTGCAACTGAGGACTAGAGTCTGTTCTGCTACGTTCCGCAGAGCTTTTTACAGTGTAAGTGCTGGCTCTTCTCGTAGTGAGGGGAAAATATGAATGAAATCACTTGCAACTTTAAAACAAAGCTGGAGATTTACATAGTTCTGAGCCCCAGTGACTTTTAGCAGCAGTTTAATTTAGATTTAAATGAAGGCTGGTAAATGAGATCTGTTCCTCGTGTAAAAGACATTTGGGAATTTTCAGCGAAGGAGTTTGTAAGGGGGAAGATTTTTCCAGACAGCAGGCAGTCTGCGTCTGTGCCTACAGGCAAAGGCAGCAGCATCGGTGGATGCAGGGGCACTTCAGCTGCAAGAGTGAACAAGTCGAGTGGTGTAATGCTCCCTCAGTCCTGAGCGTACAGTCCATAACCAGCAGGTCCTCTAGCACTGGTGTGGAATGGGCAGCTTAATTAAGCCCTCTAAGAAAAATCTAAACGTTGTTTCTTAAACCCAAATTCTTAGTGTTGCAGGGCGAGGGGGAAGAAGTGTTTTGATTGTTCTTTTCTGGAGCAGTTCATCAACAATCAGTTGTCTGTTTCTGTAACCCCTAGCTGACTCAAACCCCTGCAGAGCTGACTGTAAGCTTTTACAAGTTTAGGAGAAGTAACCATAACCCAAAGTGATGTTATTTTTCCTTTCGTTTACTTATATAGCACAATGTGTCTGGCTAAAAACATTTGATATCACACAAAGAGGAATAACGGTAGCACTCCTTGCCTCTGATGTCATACAATGAGCAGCAGATCTGATATACCTGAACTGACTGTTCCCTATGAATAGTTTTGGCATTGGCTGAAAACAGTACTGAGGGTAACTTGCATTGACCATGGGATGACACTTTGAGTTGCAAAATTACTTTCAGATAACTTGCACTGAAAAAGTAAAAATAGCACAGTACATTAGACTCATCTATGTGGAATGTATATATGCAAAAATAGGGCTCCTTAATATTTACAGTTTGTCTAGGCAGAACAACCTGTCATGCTACACTCTGCTTCACTTTTAGGCAAACAATTTGCACTGTTGCAGGCTGTGCTCTTTTCAAATGTACCTTGAAACGTACGTAAGCAACGTTAGAGAACCATTAATTTAACCATTCTCTTCCTAGCAAATAGTGTGACTCTGAAATGTCATTTGTGAGCTTAGACAAAGGTGAGAGTCACAGCTTTAGAAAAAAGTGATTAAAATGTGTCCCAATGTAACAGACTAATTAATCTTTAGATAATAACAGATTTTTTTTTCCCCTCTTTTCTCTCTGCAGCTGGGAGCGTTCACTCTCCCTCCACAAGTATGGCAACATCTGCGCAATATAGACAGCTTATAAATGACTACGGACCCCCATCTCTAGGCTATACACAAGGGATGCAGGTACAGCTCTGCTGCTTGTTTTTCTTTAATCAGATCACTGACCCTGCGTTTGCATAGTAGCATGGATTGTGGCCTGTAATCTGAGGTGTTCCTCCCTCCCATCAAGATCTGAAATCAAACCCAAATGGCAGACTGATTCATCGCACATGTCTCGGGATCAAATTAGACTAAGCAAGTGCTGAGTGAGATTGGTTACTAATTAACTCTTAGTCCCATCCCATCTGAGTCACAGTGAAACATGTCTTGTGTTCTGATAGTAAGGGCTCTAATGTACTTTAAAATTATTTGTTAAAAAATGAATATTTCTATACTGATTTTTGTCAGGAAAATACTCTAAAACTTAGTCTCATGAAGTGTCTGTCACAGACAGTCCTGCAGGCTGCTTCAGGTACCTGGCAGTAAACTTTCCATGAAATGTATTTGACTTTATAGGATTTCCTTTATGCGGGCAGTTTTGGTTTATCTGCTTCTTCCTCTCCCTGCTGAGCTGATTCCCCCACAAAATATGCACCTTAACATTGAAAAAGCAGAAACAGAGTTAAATAAGCAGTTCCCAGTTTGCTGTTCTTGCCAGGACTGTTTTAACTTGTGTTCCACCTAAGGTCCCAGTCTTGTAGCTGCATCCTCCCAGTTGATCACGATTTTTGAAGGGCACGTAGCATTGTGTCGAACTGCAACAGCAACCGCAAAAAGAAAATCATGTTTATGTAATAAACCTGAAATTTTATTTCTTTGAAAAGTGGCTTCCAGGGCTATTTCTGGTCCTCTGTGAATTTCCAGTTGCTCTTTGTTGTAATTGTTTTGTTTTTAGCAGTATTTGATTGAGATTGATCTACTTTCAACTACAGGGTACCAGCAGCAGTCAAGTACCGCAAAGCAAATATGCAGAACTTCTAGCCATCATAGAAGAATTAGGAAAAGAGATTAGACCCACGTATGCTGGGAGTAAAAGTGCGATGGAGAGGCTAAAAAGAGGTAATGCTTAAATTTATTAAAAAAAAAATTTAAAAATCATGTCCCATACACTTGATGCACTGGCTGCTTGTCTACAGCTTCATGACAACTGTTTCCTTTGAAAGGAGACAGCGGTCTTGAGCTCATCATTGAATTAGGTGTACTAGCAGGCAACTGAAACCTTGGGATACGCTATTCGTGCTGTATTTGATAGATAAACCAGTGACAAAATGCATTTCGTGTGCACAAGGGGAGTTCCAGTTAATAATTCAAACCTTACTTTAGAACCCTTAAGGTGTCTAATGGATATGTTCTTTCAGGTTCCTGGTGATTTACCTGCCCCTTGAATTCCCTTTTCTCCCCAGTCTCCAAAATATGGAGCCAAGCATTGTTTACTTATCACCCATCTACTTGACCCAAGTGTCTTTACTAAAGTGCATTTTGCCTAAAGCAGTACTACACTTGGGTAATTCACACTGAGGCTGGTGGAGAGAAAAGCTAAAAAAATAAAAAAGGTGGTCAGGGAAGGCTGTTCAGACTGAGACGTCCAACGTACACATTCCTCCTCTCTGTGGAGTGTGGGGCCTCCGTTACCTGTTGTCAAGTGGATGTCATTGGGAGCCCACTAGTAAGGGACACAGAAGCTTTTAGGCCCGGCTGATGAGGTCTCTCTAGCTTTGCTTTGTCAGCTAAAAGGGGTCATAAGTGCCCTTCCCTCGCAGTGTAAAAGAAACCCCTGCATGCCCCACTGCTGACATCAGCTTGACATTGTCCTCTGCAGGAGACGTGCGAGGGATATTTCTGAAGGAGCAGTGGGACATTCCGCTGCTCCAGCTCCTGAAATGACCCGGAAAGGCCATCGACAACAGTTGTGCTGGCGGTTCTGTCCTTTGCCAGTACGATGTAGTTACCTTTCCCTCCCTTTCCTTGGTCCTTGTGCTGAGTTTGGCTCACGCATTCAGCCCTGAACGGGCATATTATTGTAACAGAATAACTTCACCACCTTGCAAATCCCCCTTACATTTACCCAGGACTACAAAGCTTTATTTAAAGCTCAGCCATTATGGGAGAGTAATGTATCTGCCCTGACATGCAATAAAATGACTAGTGGCTGTTCTGGGAAAGGATGCAATAAAGTCTGCTGATGAGTGGTAAGTGGAATCTGGCCCAGCTAAAATCAATGTTGCTGGAGTCTCTCTTTATTGCATTGCCTGAGTCAGTATTAATAGATCATGAATGGCAATAGGCTAATGGGGACAACTTGAGAGAGACCGGGAGAGATGCAGACGTGCTCTGAACTGAACGGTTCCTCACTCTGGTGAGCAAAAGTTGTTTTGCTGCTTCTTGCAGTGAGCGTTTAGTTTGTGGCTAAGGTAGGTTTAAGATTCAATGCTGCCGCTGTGACTTGCCAGTGTTGCAAGGAATCCCAAATAAATACTTTTTGCTGCCATCTTTTGGTCACAAACATACCTCTCTTCCCATTTTGGGAGCCTAATGGCTGAAGGAGCATGTGCCAGTGTGAGAGCAAAAGTGATGGAGGGTAACCACGTGACTGCAGCCTCCGTGGCCGTGCAGAGGTTATTCCTGAATAAAGTCCCTGTCCCCAGCTCCACCCGCTCCTAAGCACAGAGGCTACTGACCTCTAAAATTGGCCAAATTCCCAGTGTTCTACATAATTCAGGGTAGTTCTGCTGCATAAACTGGGCGTCCTGCCACCAGCTCCAGGTCCAATGCACTGCTTTGGGTTTCTGCATCCCACAGCTGCAGGATGCAGCTTTACTTGTCTGTGTCAGTTTAACCCTCTGCAAAGGCTTGCACCCGTCGAGTCCCAGGTCAGTACTCCTGGGATGTAAAGGCTGTTGCTGCGATCGGGGCTAGCAGCCTTCTAGAAACAGCATCCATTATCTCTAAATAGAGATTACACCTCATCTACTGCCTTACTGTCCTTTCTCCACCTTGTTAAGGAGCATGATTGAGCAGAGAAATCGCCTTCTATCTTGTCCTGTCAGTAAAATATAATGTCATTTGTTGTAGGAAAATCTGTCTTTCATTTTAAAACCTCTCTCAAGCTCTGTTCTTTCAGCAGTTCTGTGAACATGAATCTAGATTTAGTTCCAGGATTAAGAATCAAGGTCCAGATTGCTGGAACCCAAGGCAACAGGACTTGTAGTGGAAAATTCCACATTATGTCTATCAGATGAGAGTAGATACGGCAGCATATAAAGTGGTGATGATTTACACTGGGAGCTGAGCCAGTGTTAGGAGGTAACTTTTTGCACACACCATAAAAACCCCTTCTTTTTCTCAGAAGAGACACAACTTGTGTTTAAGCAGTATTATGAAGGCTTGAATTTTGATGCATCCTCTCAGAGGAGAAGTATCCCAAGGTATTAAGACTTATAGAGCTTGCTAAAATGACTCCCCAAATAACTTGGTTTTTTTTTTTTTTCACTCCACTGAAGCAAAATAACTCACAGGTAGGAAAGATAATTTTTTTTCCCTTTCTGTTAAGCCTCTGATTTTAAACAGGCTTGCGCTGCACATTAAGATATACCTGTCACTGCAGACCTACAGATCTGATCATGCTCCGATTCCTGGTTTAGTCCCTTTTCAATTTATAAATGCAGTTTGGGAAAGCAAACTTGTTAGCAGCAGCTGATGTTTGGGAAGCGAGGGATCTCTCCCTTTTCTGAGGCGTGCTGCGGTAGCCTTGGCAACTTGGGACAGAACTACGTAAACCTCTCTCTGGACTGTCACTGCAATTGTGACCTGAATGAGACGATGTAAAATGTGTCCAATTCTTTTGCAGGCATTATTCATGCTAGAGGATTAGTTCGGGAATGCTTGGCTGAGACGGAACGAAATGCAAGATCCTAGCCCACTAATTCAGTTGCAAGGTTTTCCATCTCTTAATGAAGAAAAAGTAACACTTACTCCTTTTGACTCTTGAAACGTTCAGACAAATTCCTTTATTTTGAATGTTTTACCGTTCTTGGTTTGCCCTTACAAAAATGTATAGTTAAGAATGAGAAAACAAGGGTTTTTCAACTTACTGAGGGTTTGCATTTTGTAAAGATGTTAAAACTTCCTAAAATGTTTCTAAAACATGAAAACTGAACTGCATGCAGAGGAATGCTCTTCTCTTCCAGGCTATATTTCAGTTCTCTTCATATCCAGCCACAGTCCCATTCTGTTTTTTTTTTTTCCTTTGACTATACTCACTTAACCCCATACTGTCAATCTTTCAAAGTTTGACATAATCTCTAAGGATTTTTTTAATAAATGCAGAATAGCATGCTGTACCTAGTAGTCTGCTAAGTCACAATTTGTCACACAGCATAGACCCTGCTTAGAAGTAACCTTCCCCTTCTCTTATTTTTCCTTTTTTTGTTCGTTTTGCATAAACATTTGCATGACTGTTAGTGCTTTGAAGTCCATTTAAAGTGCATGAGTTATATGGAAAACAGGGAAACCTATTAAATAATAACAAGGTCCTGGAAAGCTAATTTCTACATTAAGGCTGGAGATTTCAGTTTAAATTTTGCCAAAAAAAGAAAATTCTGGATAAATTACTAAAACTGTTATTTGCATCTTTGTATGTATTTATTACTTGACGTAATAAAGCTTATTTTCATTAACAGTTTGTATTGAAACTATGTACAGTCCCTTTAATCAGATTCATACTCCATGAACAAGAACTCTCGACAGAAAAAGATTTAACCTTCATGCAGGAGGCTCAGTTCAGGAACAGACAAAGGAACAGGCCTGGAGATGGCTGGGGAGTTTTTCCATCCGTGGCACAGTCTGGATGCAGTCAATCTCTGCCAGGTGGCGGTACAGTTGTTAAGTGGTCTCCACTGCTGTCAACATACCATGGCTTTGGTTCTTGAAGCGCTCTCCTTCAGTGTTGAAAGCCAGAACTTGGTGGCAGCCGGTGAGGGTGCTGTGCAGAACTGAGGCAAAGTTCTGGTTAAGCAATTAGAGTAGTTAAGAGAATTAAACCAGGAAAATGTACTTGATTAGAGGCTTCAAAGTAACAGTACCAAAGGAAAAGCAGCTGCCTGTATTTGCATAAAATGGGAACTGACAAAGTGAGTGAAGATACCAAAATGCCCAAGCCTAACTGCAGCATAGCATAAACGTAATAAATGACTGCAATTCCCTACTGTACACATCCTAAGGAAGATGGGGTACCTAATAGATACGGAGCTATGGATACTTGAAGAAAATACAGTATTAGGAGTCAAAGTTAATTATTTCACAGCTTGGATGAACTGGATTCTCTTGCCTTGGGAGGCAAGTTCCAACACGTGCTGTTCTTTGTCTGCAATGACCCAGTTTTACCTTTGAACTGGGAGAACATGGCTGACCACCCTCACTTGCAGAACCGAGTAGGACAAAAGCATTGGTTGGGCTAACGGACCTGAAAGAGGCAACCGGTGACTGGTGTCTCTTCTATCAGCATGGGGCATTGGAACTGGTATCCGAACGTGGTCCCTGTTTATAAAGGGTTTACGTGAGCAGAGGCATTGCCTGAGTCAGGACGGAGAGTTACAACCTTGTAGGGCTGTTCTTACGGACTGGAACTCCTATGAAGCATCACAAGGCATCACCCGAGCAGAGGAAGATCTATTCAATTTTTTTTTGTCTCCATTAACAATGGTGGAAAGTTTATAGTTCCTTTTTATCAAGGATTGGTTTATCATCTTCTGAACTCGGCAGAAAAACTGATTGCTACATGTGATTAATGAGATGATGGCCGACAGAGGTAAGAATACACGACTGCTTTTATCACTTCAGTTTTACAGTAAGAGCAGGTCACTGCTCAGATTTCAGTTGTGCTCGTGAAGCCCTACATCATCTGTTAGTTTGGAAACTGTGTTTAGGTATAATGACAAATGTTTCCCTTACCCTTCAAGGGCAAGTCGGTATTTCATGTTTAGTTTATTTCTCATCCAATTGCTGCATCTCTTTGAAGTGCTTTTTCCTTTCTAGGTTTTCCTTTGCTCTTCTTTTTTTCTCCTGTTTCTTCTTCTCTGATGCTTTCTTCTCTTTAAAAACATCACTATCTTCACCTTTGTAGAAAAGGTCAACTTTTTCCTGCAGGATTTCTCTGGCTATCTTTCGGTTCTGCTCCACTGATCTTGTTTGATGACACTAAAGAAATACAAGAGGACATTTTTACTGGAACTTTAACCTGTTTATTCTTCTGCTGTCCATCTCAGTCTACATATTCCTGCCATTACAGTAAAGAAACTCCCCTCTCCGCCAAGCCAAGAGCGTCCTTCTACCAGAACTGCTGGCACTTTTGTGTCCAGATGATACATTTTGGAGAGGCTGCCTAATAATTATTTAGGTTGCCTAATAATTATTTGCTACTGTAACTTATCAGACTGGCTTTTGCATTAATCTTTAATGCTTCCATATTACCTTGGAAAGCTTCTTCCAAGTTAAACTCAACTGCGTCTTCCCCTTGTGATAAGGAAGCAAAGATTAATTTCAAAGCATTAATCCACAAGAAGTAGGAAAGAATAATGCTTAAAAGGAATCTGCAAAGTGAGTGTGATCAGCTTGTTAAGGAAGACATTCTAACTCACTCACAAGAGGGAGAGGAATGTGACAGCTGCCACTGAAAGGCAGCTACAACAAAGATACTGAAAACTACAAAACAGTGCTGCATGTCAAAGCCAGGAAGATCAGCCACGACCCCAAGTTTATTTATCTACTGATAGCCAAAACTGTTTCTTGCTGAGATCCTTTACAATACATGGAAACTTCTCCTCCACGACACTTGCACTGTGATTATGCTTTACTATGAAAGCAGACTTGGAAGACATGATGCAATCTGTGGCTTGAATAAAATATAATTACCTTCACGACAATCCCAGATGGAATATGCTTCAAGACGACACAGTTGTTTGTCTTATTTGTGGCTTGACCCCCTGGGCCATCACCTCTTACAAACTGTTCTTTTAATTCAGCCTCAGTTAGTCCAAGGAGATTGGAAGAGTTCTTCTTTCCTGCTGCCTGAAGTAAAGGCACTCTGGGACGAGAAAATTGCTGCTTCCTTAAAATCCATGGTCGCCATGGTGGTGTTTGCAATCCCCTCAGTAAGGATGTAAAAGGAAGTAAACTTGGAACATTCATGCAGAAATGAGGACACAGTTTCTCTGGGATGTAGCCTGAAATAGAAGTGGGGAATGGAGTTTACCATGAGAATCCTTGTTTTAAGATGATCTAGTTTAGCTGCACATCCTGAGCGATATTTCGATATTCCAGTTTATTTCCAAGGATGTTTGAACGGGTTTCATAGGCATTTGCCTTGAAATAGTTACCACTCCAAATGGGACTTCGGTTCTCATTACAATTTAGTTTCTTAAAATAGTCAAGATTATTGTTTTGTTGTTAAAAGGGATCTGGAAACCAGTAAGTAAGTTAGTACTCCTACCAACTCTAGGAAAAAACTAAAGATAACCAAAAAAATGAAGAGAGGAAGGAGAGGGTATTTCTGTCTTGCAGTCTGAAGCCTCTGTGGACACTCCACTCATGCCCAGGCTGTGTCTTGCTGGCAACAGTACCTGCGATTTACATGTCGACACACGCTTGAACTACATCAAGGGAGGACAGGGGAGGCTGCAGGAATCCTCCTCTGAGGTTGCCTCAAACAGTGCTCGAACTACTGAAAGAAACCTGCAGGAAGCAGCAGCAAATTTACATAATATAACTGGCCTAGTAACGTCTGGGCTTCTCATGTTCGCTGGCGTGCAGTCACGGAAGACTGCAAAGAGGAGGTGGAGGGAAAACAATCAAAAAAAGAGCCAGACTGTATGTAGAACACGTCTGTCCCAAGGATACAGATGTTGGAAGTCAGATCTGGCAGACCAGAGCTCGAGTAGTTTAAACAAGTCAGAATGCAAAGATGGATTTTTACCTGGAAGGATGATGTAGGGCTGCTCCCGACTAATGGTACACAGCAGGATCTGGGATGTGTACGTACAGTCACAGACTGATTTATGATTGAGTTCTGCGATGCCTTTTGAATGCTAGGATAGTGCAGGAAACAGAGTAATTCTTATCTAAACAGATGAGGTGATCTAGACTTGTCTTTTGACCTTTACAGTGGTTTCCAAAAGGTGAGGTCAGGCTCTAGCACGCATAGGATTTGGAGAGTGGTCTAATACAGCAAACGTGGTAAATTCCACTTCAAATCGGAAATACTGTTCTGTGTTGATCCTGTTAACAAGCTTGTCCGTCCTGCTCTGCTCTCGGAACTTTCTAGTCCATCAGATGGAGGAAAAAGAATCAAGGAGTAAGCAGAGCACCAGGTTTTCAAGCTCTACTTCACATGCTGATTTTTCCCAGGTCAAGTTACTAACACATGGAAGTGTGCATTATCCTCATGGATAATGAGGAAGGTCAGGCTCTACTGCTGTCAAACAGCACTCTTCAGCAAGGCATTAGGTAAGCAACTAAAACAATACATGCTGTTATGCTTGGAATATTTTATTTGATTCAGAATAATTCAGCATGTGAAGAAGTGGCACTTAGCAATAAACACCTGTGAAAGTTGAACATAATTGTTGAAATAAAAATAACTTTAAGAAAGCTTTTATGGGCAAGTAAAGATGTCCGCTTGGTGGCACTAGAAGGTAGTAACGTGGGTTCCTTTTTGCTGCAAAAACCATGCAGAAAAAATAGGCAGAACTACTACCTAGTTCTGAAACGAGTCTTCAGTCGACAGCAGGTTTCTTTCGGGCACTGCCCATTTACAGTCTCCTGTTTTGAAACCTGACAACTCGAGCAGCCTGATCTTAACAGGTAAGTCAAGGTAAAAACCCATGTTCACTGTAAGCCTATTTCTGCTACTTGACACTATAGCTATAAAACAAGAGTAATCCTAGAAGATACTAGCGAGTTTCTCGAGATTTCAGTTAGAAAGCCTCCAAGAAACACGTGCCGTACAATGCAAATAGGATCTTAATAATGCTTTAATTCTAAAAAAACCCGCCCAAAACAAAAAACCAACTTTGTTGATGGGATTTTAAAGCCTACACTACAGAAGAGCTGGGTCAGTAAGGACGCTCCCATTTTTTAAACACGGTTCCAGCAGCGACCGGCCGTTTCACCGGCACGGACAGGGGGTAGCCGGCCACACCGGCGGTGACGCTGCAGCGACAACGCACCCTGCGCTCCGGACAGTCCGTTAAACCCCGGGTTAAGGCAGCTGTTTTGCTGCAAAGTTGCACGAACAACGGCACTTGCTGTCCCACACGTCCAGGAAACAAAGCGAGCAGAGGGTTTCGGTGGAGCCCCCAGCAGAGCCCGGAGGCACGAAGGGCAGCGGCCGACCTGCGGCTTCGCGGGCAGCGCGCCACGGCCCCAGGCCT